ARRWTWRSCYKSCYWAAAAAAAAAAAAAAAAGAGGTACARGTTATGCAATGCCGAGTTTCTGTGATCTTTTCTCAGAAAGTTTCCTACTGAAACTTGCTCACCCTTGCGTGCATAGCTGTCATATTTCATTTATATTTATCCAAAACTGCACTAATTACTGTGGGTCATATGTGAATAATTAACTTCTTTTGCCTGAAGCAAAACTAAAGGCCAAGATAAAAAATGCAAGATGAGATTAGTACATGGAGTACACTCGTGGCCAATGCTACATGTAAATCTGAATATGCCAACTTCTTATCAAGACCTCAGAAGCGTCCTGTAAAGCACATTTAATTTTAACAGCATGACACAGATTTTCTCACTGGATCCACTGGYTAAATTCAGCACTCACCATTTGTCTAGACTACACTTCTTTCATCACGCCTGCTGCAATGTCAATATAAAGCAGTTATCAGCTGACCATTTAATGAAGGTTTTYGATTTGATGTTATTTTTCTTTTTCCCTGAAGTAATAAACCAACTTCCAGCATGACTACAAAATAGCTCAGGCAGCTGTCTTTTGGTGTGGGATTTCATTTCAGCCAGCTCACAGCCTGGCAGGTATCTGGGCTTCCTCTGTACTCGGCAGTGAAAGAGAACCACCTTTGCAAGCCAATCCCTGGGTATACCTGAAGAGGGAATAACATGCCCCAGAGGTGCCAATCCCTCTTCTCTGACTACCCAGAGATCCCAGACAGATAGCACAGCCTTGACACCCAGCTGCCAGAGAACCAAGGCTGGGGAGATGGATCCYGTGATTACAGCAGGTAGACAAACCCCTTTCGTGCTGGTGAAGAGTTACAGATGCTAAAACTGGGATTACCTAGAACCTCTCAAGCCTTCAGTGCCTGCCTCTGAGCACCCAAGTACACAGCCTGAGATTAGGCAGTGTTGACTATTTCACACTGATTTGGGTGCATTAGCCCCACGTGCTGTTCTGCCCCATGAGACCACTGAAGAATTACAGACATTTGACAAATGTAATTCTCAGTGTTTTAAAATGTCACAGCAGGAAACAGCCTTCTCTGTTTCTGGGCTAACTTGGGTGTGACATTTCTGAGGTTGTTCACATCTAATTTTATAACTTACATGATGATTGCTTATACTCCTGGGCTGGTAGCCAGTCTGGCAGGCTAGAGAAGAGTGACTTCCCTGGGGTATAAGCAGATAAAAGGTACTTTTGTTTCAAACCAAACATTCTGTGGTTCTTATGTCTCTGTTGGGCTTTCTGTCTTTGTTACAGTCTCAATGCACAAAGGGTGATACAGGCAAGAAAAGGAAACAMCACAGAAATCCAGGCAGGGGAAAGGAAAGGGACAGAGTAGGGTTAGACTGGGATAACAGAAGTAAAAAGAGAAGGACAGAAGAACGTGAAAAGGTAAGGGTACATAAAATATATTCWAAGGCTAGGGATGAAAGACGATATTTAAGACGGGAAAGAACAGGGAAGAATTAAAAATAATTAAGACAAGACATGACAAATAATGAGAAAGCAGAAGACACAAACATTAATGGAAGATAGTAAGAAACCAGGAAAATTGGCCTGGAGGGAAGTGTAATGAAATTTCCAGATCACCAGAACATTTCTGCTGTTTAAGGAAAGGGCTCTTACACTATAGAAATTGTTTTAGTAGGGGGTATGGGGTTGGAGCCTTGTTCAGAATACCTCTCAACAAAAGTCCTACCCACCAAAAAAAATATTGGAAAGAGTGATGGAGATGCRGCCTCAATTGAAATGAAGAAGCCTTCATGTAATTTCTTATAATAATAGCTCATACTCTTTAGAGTACATCAGATCACAGAAAGTGCCAGTAGATTCACAGCAAAGATCAACACTGTCCTACATGCTGGATAAACACCACGTTTCCTCCAAGGAGTTACAAGAATGCTCAAGTCCATTAAGCACAGAGAGATCAATAAATTTCTTTTAAACAAATCAGCATGAGGGTTAGGAATAGCACTGAGGCTCMGAGTGTTCTGTCCACTGCCTTTCTAGCCATCCAATCAATCTCTTTTCAGAATTGCTCTGGATAACTCCAAATTGCTGCTCCTGACCTTATCCACCATAAAATTACAACTATTACACGTAACTGCTTCGGCTACGCTTACGTGCCTGTCACATAGACTAGTAACAGCCCATAAAGTTAATAAGGACACCAGGTATTGACTGAGAGTTAAGTATGGTCATCCAGGACCCAGCTCCTCTAGACATCTCTCTTGCATCTCTGCTGTAGGGATCTAGTGCAACCTACTCTCATACAGTGATGACTTCCCTCTCCAGCATGGGGTGGGTGCCTCTGAAAGCCTCCASAAAGACATACTGAGGATTTGAGTTTACATATGAATTGAAGGATTTCAGAAGCACCTGGTATCCAAAGGCTACATCTGTAAAAGCAAGTAATAGCTCAAAAGAATCAGGTCAGTAGATAGAAKAAAATGCTGCTGAAGATTCATGAACACACTATATGCTCTTCTTGAGGTTTTYCTCTGGACTAGCTCTGGCTGGTCCCAAGCAATGACCACCCTTTCCTTGTTGAAGCAACAGCAGGTATGTCCCTAGAGGCCACTTCAGTTCAATCTGAGAAGAGTCTGGTTTGTGCTGACACTGCTCTTGCACTGCCAAGGGGGAATAACAAGGACGTTCCATTCAAGAGCACAYTCCCGATCTGCACCAGAACACCAGTGCACTCACAGACATCTCTGTCATTCAGGTGCAAACCTTTGGCTCTCACTGTAGGACGACAAGTTCAGTATGCCCTAAATTGGGCAGAAAGCAACCTGCCTGTCTTAGCCACGGTGCACAGTGCCAGCAAAACTTACCTGTGTGCGTTCTCCGGTGAGCCTTCAGGTGGGAACTCTTTGTGTACACTTTGTTGCATCCCTCAAAGTCACACCGATGGATGCGCCGCTTCCTGGAGTCTGGAGACTCAGACCTCCTCTGACGCCTTGTGCTCTCAATACTGAATGGTGAAATTGAACTGAAAAACAGAACAGAAGCAAAAAAAATGAAACAAGAGCATGGTGTATATCCCCAGGCCCCCAAAAAACAGCTGTAACAGAAATGATAAACAATAAATTAACTCTATTTCCTTTTCTACATTTTGACACATTTAGTGTTTGCACTAGAGCATATTTTACAGATTGAAGTCTTGATTTAGAAATGCTTATTGCCCAAAAAACCCACCATGATCCTTGAAATACCGCTCCAATTATGAAGCAGCCTGATTTTATCTGAGCTCTATTTCTATTTGACATATGTCCAGGTACAAGCACACTGATCTGTTTTCTAAACAGTTTATATATAGCCTCCATAACTTCTCTTTGACAAGTTGAAATAGATGAAAAGCCTGAAGCCCTTTATGAAAAAGTGTTTCCGGTGCCCAGATCTGAACTATGGATCCTCGCATTTGGCCAAACACCTGTTGTTTGCTTGAATACAGACTGCTAACAGATCCGGATCCCCTGAAGCAGCGATTTTTCCATTTTCTCATTTAACAATTCTCAATCTATCACCTGAAAGCCAATGAATTTTATTTCCTTTCAGACCACTGATAAATGAAGTTTATTAGAACAAGGCCAGAAAACAATCACCACAGAAACACACAAAAGATACTCCATTTATGGCAATGTCCTATGGCCTATCAGTTATCTCAATTTTAAGCAATTAAAAATATAACGTTGAAGTCATGTTGCTTAAGTTTCTAAGTACAGTGTGTGCTGAACCTAATACTTGAAGAAAGCCTTGCTACAGCAATGCATTTGGCTTGGTTAGATAAACTATTATCAAGTTGCAAGGCCAAGATCCAAACCCTCATTGACTGCCAGTAATTATACTACCAGCCATAAATCATTATTAACTGATCATCTTATCAACCTCACCACRATTATATGGCACAGCAATCACGTTCACCCACAGCTACACCAGCCTGTTTAGYTAAGTACGGGAACAATTCTGGTCTTTATCAGGTTTCCGGTGCTTCCCAGGTTTATTGACATTCAGGGTAAACRGGCTRCAGATTCATCAGCCTGCTCTTTTAGACTCTGAASATCAATGTGAATGAAAAGCATGAACCTTTGGGGAAGCTACAGCACTAAGACAGGCATTTGAAAGGAGCACTGATGTTGATGCATCTGCTGGGAAGTGCCTCTGTTGTCACCAACCTGCAACCTCCCATTAGAGGAGCTCCTGTACAGTTGTAGCTGTCACGGCGTACACTGAACTCCCAGAGCTTTCCAGAACTTGCTCAGGACTATTTCTATGGGGTTAGAAGCTTGTATAAAGCATCTCACACCATTAGTGTGTGATTTCACAGATGTTCTAATTCTCTGCAGACAAATCTCTAATCCTTGAAYTAGTGGTAGTCTGAATTACACGTTTTTATTTTTGTTTAAATGTTTTCACAGTACAATCCTAATTGAAAGCACTAGCAGGAAAAAAAAAAAGTACTTTCTTTCTGGAGTACTCTTTTTCTCTTAACATATATTCATATTTCACCTTTGGGCAAGAGATTCTCCCAATTAATTATTTTTGCCTATAATATGATGCATGTAAACAGATGTGCAGAAAAATTCTGAAATGGAGAAAGAAGTGGACAGAGAACTGCTACAGAGTACCAACATTAGCTAGCAAAAGGTTGTCCCCAAGAGAGTAAGACAAATTAGCACTTTATGATTGGAATRCAGATATGTTTAAGTCTCACAGAATTGGCTTAGGAACTGCTTTTAAGCATCTGCATCTCAGAACAAAAAAATAAAAGTCTTGGGTTAGATGTTGCACTGAGACTGGTTTTACTACTTCAGTTGTTTGTATTTTTTTAAACATCCCATCAGCTGAAATAAAAGTAAATGAGTAAATCAAATGTTAAAGCCCAATACTGAACACAGAAAATCCAGTGCTCAAGACCAGAGAATTCTTATCTTTAAAAATAAGTATTTGTGTACCATTTTTATTGCATGTAACTTATGAGCTGTTTTAAAAGCCTATTTTGTAACAGAGCATTCAGATCCTGGATAATACAGCTCATTTAAATGGAAGGAGGATCAAGCTTTAAATGCTGCTGCAATTTCCAGCCCCGAGACAAAATGAGCCTTGAGAARAGTCAGCACCTCATAAAAGCTATTTGTCACAGACAAGAAAGTGATCTCACTGCTGGGAACTGATCTGTGCTTTCCCRGATATTTATACAGAAGAGGGTGGCACAGAGCAGTGYCATGAAGGTGGCAYACGATCCATGCTGCTGCTTCTCAACTTGATTGCTCCCTCTTTCTAAAAAGTGTAGGGCTCTACATATTCCATAGGAGGGAGAATAACTGAATAAGCCACAGAAGGYGACAAATATTGTCACCATCCCCTGGGAGCTTCACAGTCATCGCTTGCTCAGCACAGCAAGCAGAAAAGCTACTGTCAGCTAAAACCAGCAGATGTCACCTCATGCCTTCCCTCTGCAGCAGTGCAGGATAAATGACAAACTAACCAGCAGGGGAGACTCACAYGGCAAGTGAGARCATWYGGCCAARGTGGTTTTCCTCTGCCACTTCAACTCCTGCAGACACGTTCACTACCTGATACCAGAATCTACCTGACACCACCAGCTTTGCTTTAGTCTTGCAAAAGTTGTGTGACTTCTGTWAAATGGGSATATCAYCTAAGGCCCTAAAAAAAGCACRAAGTGYTTTTTSSAGMTTCMTCAGGTTAGTCTCTCTCAGGYTAACTTCCAGATGATTTGCTGMTGTTCTTTCCCTTTGCCATGCAAACAGTAAAGGGACACCTTCTTCTTCCCCAAGCAATTTCTACAAAATGCCCTCACTGACCAGACAGACAGAAGAAAAGTCCTCAAACCCCTATTTTGGTGCCTTTTAAAGGCCACAGGGGTTCTGCCAGGTGTCTCTGGTCAACACGGAGTTCCAGAATCTACTGTTTGATGGCACCACAGTAGACAAAGACTTTGAAAATGGTATGTCAGGGAATTCACAGGCATTTATTTTTTCAAGTGACTTAGTCATCCTTTTCGTTTAAAATGCATTTTAAAATTCTACAACACAAATAAAGAAAAAAAACACTACAAAAAAGAGCACAATGCTCCCCCACAACCCAAAATCTCAATAAACCATATCATAGTACCCTCTCTCAAATATAAACGTCCCCCAGAGACTGCACAGAGGGAAGATTTGGAAACCTGTCATCAGCCAAGAGCTACCAGGGCGCCCTGGGGAGCTGCCATTTCTGTTAATGGCCACAATCTCAGGCAGCCTTTAAGGCTCAAGGTGGACTTTAGTGGTAGGAACTGATGCCACACGTAACCCCTCAGCAGGATGTACTGAATTATAGTGAAACATGAAAGTTCAAAAGATAAATTAACGAAGAAGAAAACTGAGTTCTGACCTGTGAGCYTGACGTTAAGTTATATACAACTCGTTATTTCTAAAACAGTGTGAATTTCTATGTTAGTGTAAAAATTGTCACACCTAATTGGAATCCTGGGAGACTGCTGTCTCTATGAGCAGCTACAACACATATAGTCAGTACAGTTGCTAGGGTGAAATGAATAGAACCAATTTAGGGTGATTTTTTTATAAAAAATCAGCTGTGTTACTTCCAGCTAGAAGCAAAAACATGGATCTCTGGAGGTGGCCAAGTGCTTGTCTCTCATACAAAGAAGTCTGCAAAACCTAACACCGCCTGGGGTTTCACCACTAGATGGCCACAGAGCTCTGCTCAATGTGATCTCCACCGCACGAGATAGGGATTAGCAACCCTGGTTGCAGGATTATTTTTCCTTTCTATGAATGCTGCCCATGACCTCCTAGGTGCTTTGCCTCTGTTCTATGCAGMCTGTGAACAGCCCTTGGCACAGGCAGTAACACTGTTAAAAACCACAGGGAATGGGTCTTTTATACTGAACCTGTGTTTTCTGAGTGGTATGCAGAGCAGTTTGTTGATTAAAGCCTTGAACTGTGCTCAGTCTCGTGACACACCACAAGTCCCTGCACGCTGGCTGCTCCCCACTAACAGTGTGCTSGAGTTCGCTCTCCCTGTGGTAAACACGCAGGGTTACCTTCGGCCACCCAGGCACAAGCTCCTGGGTGCTGCTGGCATCCCACTGAGCCGGCCAAGGGCTGGCCAACACGGCCAGMAAGGAGCCAGGGACGTGCAGCCAGCCATGCTTTGCTCTTTGCTCTGCAAACCCAAACAGTGTCCCAGTGTTGCATCTTCATCCCTGTGATCACCACTTCTATCCTTGGCYCTCCACTGTGAGCTCAGGCTCTTTGGCTACACATCCTCTGCCCGTCTCCGAAGACCTCACAGAAAATCCACTCATCCAAGGCCAACAGGTCACACCAGTGTGTGCCTAGCATCCCTGTCAACTTACCTAAGTCTCTCCAGCAGTCAGGCTGCATTACCTTCCCCCCTAGCTGGCCCTGTAGTTAATGAGAGATTTGTAGCTGTACCCTAATAACCATCCATAGCTGCTAAAATCAGAYGCTCTCTCCCTCAGGGGTGAGACCYRCGATGTACCAGCCATGTCCCCTCCACCCTGGCTACCATGGGGAGAAAAACCAGAGKGGCTCAGGCCTGTGCAGCATCTGCTCAGCCTGGATGAGGGGCTCAGCAGAGCAGACTGTGTAACATCAGTTGTGCTTCTCAGCCCCTGTGCACTGGAGTATAGGATTTGGCTGAGATGGCACATCAGGACAGTCCCACTCCAGCTGCTTTCTGTTGTGATGGCACCAGCATTTGCCTGATTCTGCAGCAAGCCAGTCAGGACCCACACTGACAAAAAGACAATTCTGCCAAATAAAAATCTGAGAAACTTGGTGGTTTCRGTCCCTAAGTAGCAGTCTGCCAAGTACCTGCACTGACATATGGCAGAGGATGGGAACCTACGGCCAAGGTTTAGGGGTATGTCATCACTTCTTGTAGTAGCAACCAGCTGTAATCACAAGAGCGTCCATGTAATTTAGAGTATGTATGAAGAAA